GGGGCACCAGTCCCCACTGCCAGGTGAGGCAGGAACAGGTGGGTCTCCTGTGTGCCAAATGAGCACCAAGGAAGGCAGCCTAGCCTGAGTGTCCGGGACCCTGTCCCAAAGGGCTGACTCCCTGAGCAGGCCATGCCTGGACCTCTGGAGCGCCAGAGCTGCCTCAGATGGGAGGGATTCAGCTCCTTTTTCTCCTCCCTTCTGCCCCAGCAACTTGAGACAGAGCTCCAGGACAGTGTGGTGGTGGTTGGGACGAGGGGAAGGAGCCAGGAAAGGGCAGGCCATGTTCTTGTCCTTTAGACCATGGGTCAAACCACAAACTGGAATGGAGGATGGGAGGCTGTGGGTACCCCAGATTGCAGCTTTAAGCCAGAAGGAACTGGGTAGACTTTAATGACTGAAATGACAAGGGTCTGCCTGAGGTGACATTGAGACACAGGCAGAGGTGGCTCGGGGAGATGTTTGAAGGAAGTGGTTGGAAGAAAGTTAAGGCTGTTCATGTTTTATCAAATTAGGGTTCTTCAGTCAATGCCGTAAGCTGGGGTTCCGTAAGATTTTGTTTAAAGAATGGAAAATGTGACTGGAAAAGTTTGGAAACCACTGACTTATCTATAACAAGAAAACCAGTGCTCAGAGAAGTTAAGTCACTTGTCCAAGGTCACACAGCTAACTTAGGCATAGGAAGCAATTAGCATTGGTCAGGTCTGAGTTTCTCTCTCTCTTTTAGTTTGCTATTAAGCGTGTGTGCTTGCCAGAGACAAAGTGAGAAATCAACCCCAAGGGGGATAACCACGCCATAGTGTCTTTTCCTCTGGTATCCTCTCAGGATTTTGGGCATGCAAGCACACGTGTCCAGCTTGTTTCTCAAGCCAGCAGGCCTGGGACACAAAACGTGCAGTCAGCTTGTGAGATTCAGCCGCCTTCACTTCCATGCCACTGGCTGACCCAAGTTCTTGTCTCGTTTTTAGTGTGCTCATCTTTTCATGCCTTCCATTCATGGCTGGGCCACACCCACCTCAATGCATCTTGCTGTTTGTATCTTAGGGTGTCTTCATTGAGCTAGCACTGGCAAGAGGATCTGGAGGCTCCAAAGCCCTGTCAGGATTAGCCGCTAGCTGGGAGGAAGTGAAGGAGTGGCAGGCATGGGATGGGAGCCTGAGGCTGGGGTTCTGTAGGCTGACTCAGGCCAGCTCTCTGTACAGAATGCAGGAGGCGGGATATTAATGCCGAAGGTGGAACCTCTCTCTCCGCACCCTCTTCCAACTGGGCTTGCTCTTCCTCCAGGAGAGGGGGCTTCCACCGCTGCTTCTGGTGATGGGCTTGAGCCCTCCCTGCCCCTATCCTGGGGTCTTGGGAGAAGATGTTGTGACAGAGACAGGGAGGGAAGCCACCAGACCATCACAGCTGCCCTCCTAGCTGGCTTTCCTGGGCCTCTCTGTGGCCATATTTTCTCCCTGTACCTCTACCCAGTTTCCTTCCCTCGGGAAATAAAGGTAGAGTTGGCCAGACTGATTCCCAACTTGGTCGCACCTTCTCTCCCTCGCCCCCTTCCATTTTTGCTGTAGGCCACATGTGCTCTCCAGAGAGACAAAGAAGGAAAGCGAGAAATTGACCCCAGGGGAAATGGCCACGTTCCAATCCTTTCTCCTCTGTTCTCCTCTTTGGATTTTGGGCATGCACACACTTGTGCCTGGTGTGCTTTTCAAGCTGCTTGGTCTGGGACTAGAACCACACAGTTGGCTAGTTGGGATCCAGTGCTTTAACCACCATGTCACTTGCTGGCCATTCCTGGGCAGGGACATCAGAGGCTGTGGCCAATGTGATCAAAAGTTAAACGGCCTGGTTAGGGGTTGGCTTTGGAAAATGGGTGTTTTCCAGTGTATGCAAAGATTTCTTGTGTGTGTGTTTGTGTGGAGAAGATTTAAGTGCATCCTCTGGCCGCCCCCCTGAAGCTAGGCCCTGAAGAGGAACAGGCCAGAATGAGAGGGGAGGACAAGGCATTTGGCTTTGGTAGAGCTTCTCTTCCTCCAGGACTGGAACAAAGGTGGGTGCAAAAGAGCAGGAAGGGCTTTGGCACCCAAGAGAGGCTGGCTGACTCCCTGGAGAGCACCAGCAGAGCCTAGGGGCAGGAGGAGGCAAGGAGACCCTGTGAGCAGAGATACCACGAGCTCTGTGATGGAAGCTGGCCTCTTCCTCTGCCCTCTCCCTCTTCTCTACTGGGACCACCAGCAGAGGCCCTCTTAAGAAGCCCACCCTTTCCCCGCTGTGCTCTTGAACTTGTGCACATACCCCCTCTGAGGTTCAGACCCCAGCTGCTGGGTCAGACGGCAGTGAGTGAAAGTCCCTAGGCCACTGTGGGGAAGGGAGAAATTCTTGGGCTAGTCACTAAGCTTCTGACTCTGGGTTAGTAGGAGGGTTGCCAGCACCTGCTTTACAGGTGGTTTGGAGCACGTTAAAGTGGTGGCGTCTATAGGTGTTGGCTCTTCAATGATCCTTCACCCTCTGCCCCAGCCACCTCCCTCGTTGGGCTTTGCTGAGCAGTTTCTGCGGTCAGTGTCCTGGTTGTCCAGTGCTACGATCTCAAATACTTTGTCCCTGGAGTAGGGATGCTCAGGACTAAGAAATGGAGAAGGGGAATCTCAGCCACTGGCAGGCAAGGCCTCACCCCCTTATTCTTTAGCTGTTTCATTTGGAATATTCACAGGTTCAAGGCAAGAATGGGGTGACTGTCATTCAGAGCAGAGCAGAAGGGGCCTGAGGCCCAACCACAAAGCTTGGAGCAGGAGCCAAAGTGGAGAAGCCCCAGAAAGCGAAGGATGGCCACCAGATACTGCTGAGGACTAGCGTGTGCTACTTAGTGCAAGGTTCTGGTAATGCCCAACTGGATTTTTACACAGAGCCCACAACTTCATAGAGAAAAGACTTGCCAGAAGACCACAGGCATATACCCAGGTGACCAAATGTTCTAAAAGATTCAGTTTTTGAAAAATGACTTGGAGTTTTGGTCTGCACAGGGAGAGCTCACCAGGCCGTGGTTAACAGTTAGAGAGGGGCAGATGCTGCCAGCGTTTCCTCGCTCCTCTGGGTCAGCCCTGCACACAGCCCCAGCTATGAGCATGTGTGTGTGTGTGTGCGCACAGGTTTTCACTTTGCAGTTCCTAAGAGATCAGGAATTTCCTGAGGCCTTTTGTTTCTAGCCATGGCCCTGGGAGGATGATGGAGGTGAATAAGCAATGGGGGTCTTGTTAGGAGAGCAGGCCTGGAGGGAGAAAGCTGGGGACAGCGAGGGACTGAGGGGTAGAGGAAGCTGGTGTGAGAAAACAGAGTCTCAGAGTTAGGGTCATTGGATTGACACTACCCACCCTCTGTCCCATTACAGGGTTCCAGGGAAGCTCAGTGACCAGCTGGGATCACAGAGCAGGTTTGGGGAGAGCTGTAGCAGGAACCCCTGTACACACAGTGCCTTTAAAAAAAAAAGTTTTTTTGCTATAGAGTGTGTGCACTCGCCTGAGAGACAGAGTGAGACAGACAGAAAGCAAGAATCATTGCCTTGGGGGGATGTCCACATTGCAATCCCTCCTCCTCTGACCTCCTCTCAGGATTTTGGGTATACACACACATGTGCGCGGTGTGAGTTTTTAAGCTGCAGGTCCGGGACTTGACTCCATGTAGTCTACCGTTGATGACGTGGGAGTCCAGTGATGTAACCAGTATGTCATCTACTAGTCTCCACACTGTGCCTTTCAAATCTGAAAGTGACACATCCGAGGACAGCTGGCTGGCGCTGGGCACACAGGGCAGGCAGGGGACAGAGGAGCTGAATGACTGTGCAGAGACCATGCGTGCCCTGGGCTGCACTGCCTGGGCTTTGAACCTGTTGCAGCATGAGGTGGTAGCAAGGATCCGTCCCTGCCTCAGTATAGGTCAGATCCACCAAGGACTTCCCTGCCGGGCAGCTGAACAGCTGAACCCATGCCTGCCGGGGCTGCAGGGTCAGGCTGGCCACATGGTTTGGGGAGAAGGGCCCACCTTCCCCAGGTCCAGGGGGAAATCAACTGGGTGGCAGGTGACAGTCTGCTGCCCTTGGAACCCTGTCATGGTCAGACATGGAGACCTCGCCCATCAGGTGGAGGGGTCTGCAGAGAGCATCAGGAGTGGGGACACTTGTTGAGGAGTGGCTACTTGTGTGGCAGAGGTGTGGCTATAGGGACAAGCAGTCCTGCCCAAAGGCACCAGAGAGATGAGAGGGTCTGAGAGCCCTCTGTCCCCTGCACTAAGACAGGGCTGCTAAGGTAGTCCCCACATCACCAGGAAGTCATGGCTGAGGGGTGCCCAGCACAGAGATGTCACCCAGAGAAGCAGGAGATGCTCCGAAGGAGGAGGGTCTGGGTGTTTGGAAAAAACTCTGGGTGCCAGGCTGGTGGCAGCAGGGGAGTCCAGACCATGGAGTGGCAGCATGAGGGAGCATGGCCAGGGCTGGGGCTGGACTGGAGAGGC